AAAGGTGAGCAGTTGTAACTACTATTTGGACCTTTACAGAAAGAGTGTGCTTATTCCTGCTTCAGAATTATGTCTAGTCACTAAATAGGGGAGAAATAACTGAAGATAAAACAGCAAAGATTTAAATTCAATATGAGGAAGAAAAAAAATCAGTAACGATGTGAGCTGGCACCAAATGATGCAGGACAAATATCCTTGAGTTGCTTCTTTTTTCTTTTCTCTTTCTTTTTTTCAAGACAGGGTTTCACCATGTTGGTCAGGCTGGTCTTGAACTCCGGACCTCAGGTGATCCGCCCGCCTTGACCTCCAAAGTGCTTGGATTACAAGCGTGAGCCACCACGCCCAGCCGCTTCTTTTTTCTTTACTCTCCCAGTCCGCAGTTACCAAATTCCCTCTGTTGCTTCAAAACACAGCTCCAACTACAGCTCCTCCACGGTCCCTCCTCACATCTTCCCAGAGCGACCTCAGCTCCTATTACTGTCAGTGCCACACTACGCATCTCCATGTGATGATATTTTTCCTGCTTACTAGGACATCTTCCCTAGATAAACTAGGAACACTTAAGGAAGTCTGTGCCCCTGTATCAGCCAGGGAGACCTTGCAGGAAAGAGATGGTATGCTAAAGCATCCAACTGAGGAGACTTTGGTAAAGGGACTGCTTACTGAATTGTGGGAAGAGCTAAGGCAAGCCAACAAACAACGGGCCAGCAATATCCAAGAGCCATTACTGCAAAGAATCCTTAAACGGTATGGGGAAAGTGAAGGTGCCAGGACACAGAGAGAGCTGTGGTTCTAACTATAGCTGGGGTTGTGGGGAGAGAGTTGTCCAACAAAAGCTGCAACTTTAGGCAAAGGTGCCAAGTTCCTGTCCTGGTCCATGGACAAGCAGGGTGAGAGTGGGAGAACAAATATCTCGACCTCTGATCTGCTAGGAGACAAGCAGGAGACCAGCGGGACCTCTTTCTTCCACTGGCCAAACCCAACAAGATGCCAGAAGACAAGGTCCACGTGGTATATCCTCCAAGAGAGATGGGCCAGGTGAAGAAGGATAATGAGTGGATCTGGAGGGAAAAATGAAAACCATTCAGCACATCCCCATAGCTGGTTTTCAATAGTGCTTGTTGATTGGCTTTGTGTTAATGAATGTGGTGGAAGGCTTGATTACTAAAATGATTTGAATATAAACCGTCAAGAGGCTGAAGGATGAATTTAGGGACATGTGCAGGTCCCTTTCTTGCTCTACAAACTTATAAAAACTATATTGCTATCAGGGCTGAGGATTTAGTGTGGCCAACATTTTGTCTTCTTCTGTAGGGGGAAAGGAAATAGGGTGCCAAGAAGGAATCCATACTGCTACTCTCATCTGTGCTTAAAAGCTAAATGTATTTCCACCAAATTAAAAATAGAATGTTTGCTACTTAAATGTGAGCTGGTAAGAAAGATAACTCACTCTCCAGCATTCTCATCAGCTAAATACTATCACAGCCACAAGTGTCAAACAGCTACATGGGCAGCCGGGGAATGAGTCTTGCAAATAAAGGTGCACAGTGTGAAATGATGACTTTTGCTGATCAAAAAGCATCCTGGGGAGGGCTGAACAGTTTTGGGTCAAGAAGAAGCCTCGATTTCTGGGGTGATTTTCATCATTATCAGAGAGAAGACTGTACTTGCCGTGAATATAATGCTACTCCACCCACTCCTACTGGCGGAGGCAAACTAGTAGTCACTTGTTTTTGTCAACGGGCCTTTACAGCCCCACCCCACAACGAAACATATTTTTCATTTCAGTTTCACTTGTGTTTCACTTTCTCTTTTTAAAGGGTGATTTATAAAGTTAACAAAACCCATCAATAAATATTTCAGTGTATTATCAGGGCGCACGTACGTGTATGTGTATATGTGTGCACACACACACACTCAAACCCTCTGCATGCACGTGACTAAGAACCACAAACTCACTTTCCCCAGCTGGAGCTTTCTTCAGTTTTTGGGCCATGAGTTTCTTTATTCTGTGGCTCTTCCTGTCTAAAAATGTAAAAGTCGTTGCAAGGGAGCTATAATTTCTACTCAACACTTCAGTGATTTGATTATATAAAATAAAAAGTGTAATGAAGTTAACAGTACCTTATTCTTGCAATACATTATGAGGAATATTTTCCTGCAAAAATCTGAAAGTGGAAATTACCTCTGGGCCCCCTAACACTTAAAAATATGGGTCATGATGATTACTGCAGTGGAATTTCAAGCCTTAAGAACGTAATATGTTTCTCTTTCCTCCATTCAGTTCCCCGAAAGGACATCCTCTCTTCCTGGGATAGTATACAAGGAAAGATGAAGAACTTAAGTGACAGGTTGTTCTACTTTTTGGTGTAATCCTAGCATGTGAGCTCAGTGTGTCAAAAGCAGATAATTTCTCTGGGCCTTAAGTAGTCTGCAAAATGTGGGGACTGGATAATCCATTTTCACTTTAGCATTCTAGATTCAAAAAATAAAATAAAAAGCATCCCTTGGAAACAAAAACCACTGTAATGCCAGAGATTTTGTTGTTGTTGTTTATTGTTTTCTTCCTGTATTTCACAGCAGCCCTTATCTAGCATCTTCCCTACCTGCTTCTTGCCTAGTAATTTGTGTGGCTTCAGCATAGAGCTGACGAGGAGCGCAACATCTTGAGTTCAGATCCTCCACAGGCCAGGCATCTCTGATCTTATCCCCAGTCTAGGTCTCTTTCTGACAGGTGGAATTCATTCAAGGTGCATTCAATGTTTTCCATTCCCAAAGAATCAACTCAGAAAGAATACTCTAGCTGTTCTTGTCCCAGAAGTAGCATCTTACTTGAAGAGGAGAACATGATACTGCAGCCAAGGGCAACATTGTAGTCACATGGTCTAAGTGCTATAATGTTGAATAGCATTTAAGCACTCCCCCTACGCACTGTGATAGGAAAGAACACCCTTTTTCAGAATTTTCCCAATCTGGCCATGCAGATGTAACACAGTCTGCCTCTAGGAAACAAAGAAAAGATTTCACTAGTATAAAAACTTTCCTAAGCATGATACAGGGAGACTTAACAGAATTAAGTTTCTCAGGTGGTGCCAAACAAGTTCTCATTTTCATAGCATTCTTCTATGCCAGCAAGTCAAGAAACATATTTGCAGCCCTCAACAAGTCTCAGGGTACAGCCATATGCCAAGAAGAATGTAAGCTCGATTTAGGCTTTTCAGCTAGACTGGTAATGTGACAGGATTTTACTTATGCCGATATTCAAGCTATCTTTAGGCAAAATTTAAATATGAGCATTGACACTGTTTCCCTTTTTCTGATTTGCAGGTACCTAAGGTCCCCATTCATGGTCACTCATGTCCCCCTGCCCTGTCCCCCGCATCCCTACCTTCCCAGTGCTCTGGGATCTGCATTCTTCTGTTTTGCCTATTCCCTCAACAAAATTCTGCTCATCTGGTTGACATTTGACAGTGATCCAAGGCCATTTATTAATGGGCACTACTACGAATTATTGCAAGGCAATAGCTTATTCTGTTTAACTTTATAGGATATTTGCATACAACTTGAAATCTGAGACAGAAATCTATGGCTTTGGGAACCAACCAATACAGATGATAGAGATTTCCGGGATAAGAGAATCTTTCTTGAGCTGCTCACATCGTATCATATAGTTGTATCCGTCCTTTGCCTAGGCCTAAGATAAACCCTATTGGCATGCTGATATGTAAAAAGTGTTTTTCTTCTGCAAAGGAGAGGCACAGAAGTTATCTCTTTATCCCAAGTTTCCCCAGAAGTTAAAAAGGGAATACACACACAAACACACACACAGATGCATAGACACACTCACACACCACTGTCACCACATTCGACCTGGAGTTAGCAAGATGTAGGATGTGAGATGGGGTCAGATCTACAGAGAGGAGAACTTAAAATGCACCAAAGTCAGCCTCTGAAGGTAGGCTGGTCAATGCACAGCCCAAAAAGACACAGCCATGGATTCTGAATAAGGAGAGAAAAGCTTGACATAAATGCTTAGTGCAATCTTCAAGTCTCAGAAACTCACATCTATGAACAATTTGTGAGGTGGAGCCTCAGCCGTTAGGAGGTAAATAAGTAATCTGTGCATGACAGAGCAAGACCTCAGCTGCAAAGTTTGAAAGGTATAATGGATAAATCAAACTAATAAATATTTCATTGAACTCCCTCTCTGCTAGACTCCAGGCCAGGTGCTGAGAATATACAAGTGGATAAAGCACATCCCTATAAAACGTGCACAAGAAGGAACCAAGTAAAATCTCTGTTTCAGAAAGTTTGCTTTCTATTTCAAGTTTGCTTGATTGGATTTCTTGCTCTGTTCACATGCATTGCAGAACATAAAAGGTGACCCACGCATGTTAGCCCAGAGACTGTGGAAGAGTGGTCAACCATCAGACTTAGTCTAAAGTGACTTAGTCTGTTTCACTGAACTGACCAGAATCTCATACCTGATAGCAAACCCAACCAGGTTGTTAAGAATAATGTTCATCAGCATTAAACCTCTTAGAAAGAAAGTTTACAGACAACTGAACTAATGCACATACCAAAGAAGATTTCAGAGACTTCCTTGGCTCTTCAATATTTGAAGCTGTATTGAATTCTTGTTCAACTTATCCCCAAGGTTAAGATAAATGAGTGATGGAACAACTGCATATAGGCTTAGCATTTGGCATCAGCTATACAGTAGTGTTTTTGTATAGGCTGAAGTCTACATCAGCTAGAATATAATTATATATAATGTTGACAGATTATGACGTTTGCCTGTTAAGACACTATACAAACATTCCAACAATTTGCTGGCTTTGAGTTTGTAAAAAATAAATGAAACAAATTCTCAAGGGCCGTTGCTAATGGGGAAACTGGAAGAGAGGTTTCAAAAGCACAGGGTTCAGGAAATAACAGTCAAAGAATAATGCATTTAAAGCCAAAACATATAGAGTGGTAAATGAATATTTAGTACTTACCACAAGACTGCTGTCTAGAGACAACCTTTTTCCAAAGTCCCTTTTCTCGAGCTGTCTCCTTCCCTCCATGGATGAAGTTATTTATTTTCCTTTGTGACTTATAATAATCCCCCGTCTGTTTCCAGGGTCACTGAAAAAAGTGAACATGTGTTTTACTATCCAAGTGCACAGTGTTTAGACCTTTGTTTTCAACTCTCTAACCAGAAACAAGCATTGAAGCCAAAAAATACCCAGTCCCAAATAATAAGTATAGAACTGGGTTCTCTCAACTCAAAAGACCACTTCGTGTTACAAATGTAAGGTTGTCTTTATGGCGGCCCCTGTGTTTTTATAGGTTTTGCTAATGGAGTTGGGGAATGGGTTTGCAGGTTGAATCAGCAGACTGTGGAAAAAAGCAAACAGTCCGTTTCATGCCACACTTGCTTCACACCCGTCCTCTATCAGCCAGAATCATTCTGTTACTGTGCACATAGATGCTGTCTGCAAATTCCATGAGATCAAACTGACAAAACCACGCTCCATAACCAAGAGTTATTGAGCTCAAGGTCCAATGAAGGGAAACTGAAACATGAACATCGTTGTCAATATTTAATTTAAAAATATGTCATTTAAAAATATTTGAGGAACATTGTAAGATACATTCCTTTCGGGATAGATTGATTCAAAATGAATGGTGGGTGATGTCATTACTGTCAATGAGTATTTATAGAACACTCACTGTATTTTTCCATATTAGATACAGTTCATCCTCAACTCCACTGAGATTGCTTTTTCTAGAATGATTAAGTATTCTGCTTAATAAGGATTCATCATATATGTTAAGTGCTAGCTTGCAATTTTCACAAAGATGTTAAAGTCTTGAAATAAAAGAAATAGATTACAGCCCAGGATTTCTTATCCACTAGCCAAGTGACCTTGGACAAGTCATTTAACTTCCCCGAAACTCATTTTTTCTCAACTACAAAACATAATGATAGCAATCAAATGATGTGTGAAAAAATGATTTAGATTCAGTAAATTACAATGCATATGTAAGTTATAATTACCCACAGATTACATTTAAAAACAGTTAACCTGAAATACCAGTCAACATAATATATCCTTGATGATTCAGAAGGCACTTTGAAGTATAGAAATTGCACATGATCCTCATAAACAAACATAGCCATTGCACTGCTGATACAGAAGAGATGAAATTAACACAATGCCATACCAATCAATTTTTAAATATAATTGAAAAGAAATATGGTCCACAACTCTCAATGGCTCCAAGTCTGACAAGGTTTCATAGCCCACAGGATGTGGGCTCTCTCTCTTGGTTTCCTCCATCAGGAGGGTTGAGACAGTGGTGCCTGAGATAGGGGATGCCCAAACTATTGTCAATCATGGGAAACTGATGGGTTCATGTTCCAGCTTAGGCTCCCTCCTCCATGTTAGTCATTTCATCTCTTACTTTCGAGAACACTAATTTTAATACATCACTGGTCCACTCAGAAACTCATAAGAGTTCAATCAGAATTTAGGATGAAATTCAAATTTTTCAACATCATTTTCTAAAATTCTAGGCCGTATTTTTCAGAAAAGAAGTTAGTTCTGTGTACTGCTATAGGCAAGACTATTAGTCAACTGAAATTTGTTTGGGAGCCTGCCTTTCCGATTTCCAGCTGTTCTTGCCCACTTTGTAGCATTCCCCCTCTCCCCTAGCCTCAGGGACTGTATTCATCGGTAGTTCAGAACACCTTCTGCAATGATGAACCAGCTGGAGACTACTCAGGCCCTCATATTTCCCCCTTCACCAGAAACATTACCTCCTAAGTCTTGATCCCAAACAGCATGGGAATTTGATAGTTCACAATAGATTGCACTTTGGCCGTTAGCACATATGTATTGAGTGTGTACTGCGTAGAAGACAGTAGGAATACCCTAGGAATACCATATGGAATACCATCCTTAACATATGGAATACGTTAGTTCTTACTAACTTGACACAGTCATGTACAAGAAAAACCAAGTTCCTGCCTTTGTGGAATGCATATTTTAGTGAGGCATACAGAAAATAAGAAACAAACAAACTGCTCCAAACTGTAGTAGGGACAGTATGACGGAAATAACCTCCAGGAGGTGGTATAAAAGTGCCAAGCACGTGAACAGGGATAGCTTTTGGATACAGGGCTTAGGGTAGAAGCTAGCCATGTAGAAAGATGGGTAAAGATCCTTTCAGATGGAGGGAATAGGCTTTTAACTGTGAAGGAATCAGAAAAGAACTTAGCTGAGAGAGGACCCATTTCTTAAGAAGAAAATAGCCAGGAAGAGAATGTGTGAGAAAAGGGATGAGTTGTACCCAAAAGCCACAGAGTCTTGTAGGTCAGGGTAACTCTTATAGCTCTTATTCTAAAGACAAAGGTTAACCTTAGGTTTTAAATTCACTTATTCCTCACTAGCAGGTAACAGCCAACGAATTATTTAGCCTCTGTAAGCTTCCACTGCTTACTCTATATGATGGCATTAATAATAGGAACTTCTTCATAGTAGGGCTTTGTGATGATTAGTGAGATAAGCCATTGAAATAGTTAGGCTGGGGACAGACACATGTAGGTAAGACTTAAATATTAGATATATTGATCATCCCTTCTGGCAAATATGATTAAACTCATTAAGAGCAACTTGACCTGTAATCTCAGCACTTTGGGAGGCCGAGGCAGGCGGATCACAAGGCCAAGAGATCGAGACCATTCTGGCCAACATAGTGAAACCCCGTCTCTACTAAAAACACCAAAAAAATTAGCTAGGTGTGGTGGTGCACGCCTGTAGTCCCAGCTACTCAGGAGGCTGACACAGGAGAGTTGCTTGAACCCAGGAAGCGGAGGTTGCAGTGAGCCGAGGTCGCACCACTGCACTCCAGCCTGGCGCCTGGTGATGGAGTGAGACTCTGTCTCAAAAAAAAAAAAAAAAAAGCAACTTGAGCTACTGGATGTTATGTTACTTCACAGGCACATAGGGCTGTCATTTTGGGAAATGGGGATCCTTCTGATAGTTCTCAAAGAGCCCAGTCTGCCTATGTGGAAAGCTGATTCAACAGCTTTCTAAATGGATTTGGTCAACTTCTTTTTATATTTTATGGTACCAATAATATAGGCAGAGATGATATTAAAATTATTTAGCAACAATATGGCATTGGCCAATCATAAAGGCACAGTCCAATCAGGGCTGACAATGGCAACAGGCAGTACAATGATAGCAGAGCATCCTAGCCAATTCCCAGCCTAGGTGCACGTACTGGCCCCACTCCAAGAAGGTGAAAATTTGTGAGTTAAACCATAAAACAATCATGGAATGGGTCAGAGTAAAGTTATCCAAGTGGATCAAAGGAAGACAATCTAAAAGAAACAGCATGGCAACCAGGATGCAGCAATATAAAAAGAGACGTGATTAACAAAGAAAATATCAGCAAGGCTGAAACATTCCCATTCCTCGCACTGCTGGGAAAAGACTACAAACATCCAGCAGAGACTGCAGGTCCAGAGGGGAAAGGAGTATATATCATATTCTAAAGACGCCTGGGATTAACTGGTCCATTTGTACCATCCATCTAACTCAACTAATTCAGAGACTAGTATCATCAAGCAGCCTTCCAACTTTGACTCCTATGTAGTTTCACTTGTAGAAGAAGAACATGCTGACCAACAAATGTAAGTAGACAATCTTTTGAAAAATTACATTTTTAGTGCAAATTTGTGACTTAACATCTGACTCATTATATTTATTTATGTATATGGTTAGTATATTAGAGAGCTCGGGCTGCCATAACAGAATGACACAGACTGAGTGGATGACACAACAGACGTTTATTTTCTCAAAGTTCTGGAGGCTACAAGTCCAAGATCAAGGTGCTAGCAGAGTTGGTTTCTGGTGAGGCCTCTCTCCTTGTCCTGCAGATGGACAGCTTCTCACTGTGTCCTCACATGGCCTTTGCTTGCACATCCCTGTGTCTCTACGTCTTCTTTTAAGTTCTAGCACATTAGAGTTCCATCTTATGACCTAATTTAACCTTAATTGTCTCCTTGAATGCCCTATTTCCAAATACAGTCACATTGGGGGTTAGAGTTTCAACATATGAAATTTGCAGGAGACATTGTTCAGTCTGTAATAGTTATTTTCAGTCAGGTTTCAAATCACATCTGAGTGTTCTATTAAACAAATTCCTAACTCTAAAAAAACTAAGGGAAACTCCTGAGTTGTGGTGATTATAGTGGCTACCTCCAGACCCCATGCCTCTCTGCTTATTAGGTGACTGTTGGATGTTACTGCTCCCTTTCTGCCTCACCTTGCCCTGCTGTACTCTTCTCTGTATTGTGCATGTATGGGTGCAAACATGATCAAGACCTTTCGGTCAGTGTGTTAATGCTGAATTCTGCCCATGGGAGACAGTGAGAGGAGATTAGAAGGCAATGGGAAAGAAGAAGTCATTCTGCTTCCAACTCTGGCAGAGCAGCATCAACAGCAGGTAACTGCAGGCTCCCGCAATTCCTGTGATTCCTCCAATAGGTCACCTAAGAAAGGGCACCAGCAATGCCCCAGTTTGTGAGTACTGCCACCTTATCCCTCTGGCTTCTCCAGCCCTGTCAATACCATCATAGAAATTCCCTGCATTAAATTCCTCTTTGCTTGAAACAACTACGGTAATTTCCTTTTTCTAGGCTTGACAATTTTTTTTTTTTTTTTTTTTTTGAGACAGAGTTTCGCTCTTGTTACCCAGGCTGGAGTGCAATGGCGAGATCTCGGCTCACCGCAACCTCCGCCTCCTGGGTTCAGGCAATTCTCCTGCCTCAGCTTCCTGAGTAGCTGGGATTACAGGCATGCGCCACCATGCCCAGCTGATTTTTTGTAGTTTTAGTAGAGACTGGGTTTCACCATGTTGACCAGGATGGTCTCGATCTCTTGACCTCGTGATCCACCCGCCTCGGCCTCCCAAAGTGCTGGGATTACAGGCGTGAGCCACCGCGCCCGGCCTTGACAATGTTTGATGAGAAGCCCATGGAGATGCCTTTGGACAGGCAGCAAGCCTTCCTTAGGAAATACCTGGATTCCTTCTTCTGAGTCTTCTGAAACAATCGTCTGGAATTATTTTCT